TCAATGTTTATTCTTAGGCCAAAGCCATTTTTGTTCAAAGGGGACCACAAGTACCCCGTGTCAAACCCCGAAAGTCCTGTTGTCATACTTTACGCTGAGATTGGCTCCGAGGAGTTCTACAGAAACCATAAGAGGCTTGTTTCAAAGGCAGAGGCAGGAGAAATCACTTACGTGCTCAGACACTATATTGCTGTAAGTATATTTCTGCATTGTAACAGAGGTGTTTGACACACAAAGGGTAACTGGCCTGGCTGTTGAAAAAATGGCCGAAGTTTGTTTCCTTTAAATTGACATTTGCATAATGTGTTGCTGCCTGATATTTGTTTGGAATACTCAGAGTTTATTTTTTATTGCATGTAGCCGAGGCATACAGAATCTCACAACTGTAAAATCTCACAACTGTTTAAATAAGAGGATCATTTGATTTGACAAATGCAGAGTTAAACTCCAGAAAAATTACAGAGTTTAATCTTAAAAAAAAAACAAACAAGTTGCCTTACCTATACTAGATTATAGGAAATAGTCGGATCTTTCCCAGTCAGGCCAATTAGTTACTTGATATGAAAAGCTGGGATTAACCTTACAGTACCATTTTCAGATGAAAGGCATTGTTTCTGTAGCACTTTTATTACAGAACTACTTAAAAGCCCTAGCGCAATTTATCCTGGTTTCCATCTCCCTCCCCTAAATTGCCTGTAACCACTGGATTAGTGTTTAACTCTACATTTCAAAAGCTCTGAGAATTTTGAGTTGACTTCGCAGTTGAAGTTCCTTTCCCTCCTCTATCTGATTTGATGACATGAGTCTGTCCTGCTCTACTTGGCTTACACATAGAGTAACATTGTTTTGTGTTCCTTTTGCTGTGGTGGTTTTCAGTGTTGTTTGGGTTTTTTGGTTCATAGAAGTATCTTTGTCCTCTGAACTTCAACAAGTTTTGCTGAAATATAATATTATAATAATAATTATGACAGGACATTACTGCAGAATCCCTCATTGTATTTATTTCTCACTTATGCATTACCAGTTGTGCCTGAGATGTGTACTAGTTTGAGATTTCTTAGCTTTGGGAAATTCCACCTTTTAGTTTGTACATCAAAACAAAGCCTGGCAATACTGTACGGTTGCTTTTCCTTACAGAATCCAAGTAAAGAAAAAGTCTACCTCTCTGGCTATGGTGTGGAACTAGCGATTAAAAGTACAGAATATAAGGCCAAGGATGATACGCAGGTGAAAGGTGAATTAATATTTTAACTATTTAAATTTTGTAAAGATAATGTTGTATTTCTTTTTGTATGAATGTTTGTCCGAATTGCAGCTATTCTTATTTCTTAAGGTCCAAAATCACTTCTCTCTCTTTTGGGATTATGTTCTTTATGAAACCTATCTTTGCCACGGCTCTTGTCTTCTGTTTGTGCCATGCTCAGCACACTGGAGTCATGACTCTGGACTAGATCTTAGTAACAGCACTACTAATGCAACTGATTTTTTTAAAAGATAACCAGATTCTCTGCAGATGTAAAGCACCGATGTGAACGTTTGTCCGAATTCTTATTTCTTAAGCTCCAAAATCACTTCTCTCTCTTTTGGGATTATGTTCTTTATGAAACCTATCTTTGCCACGGCTCTTGTCTTCTGTTTGTGCCATGCTCAGCACACTGGAGTCATGACTCTGGACTAGATCTTAGTAACAGCACTACTAATGCAACTGATTTTTTTAAAAGATAACCAGATTCTCTGCAGATGTAAAGCACCTCTACCTTATCCATCCCTGGAGCAGAATGTGTTTCCTGTTCTTGTTCTTTGGGAAAACAGAACTTACAACTCTGCATGATACGTTTTGCTGCTTTCTTTAGAGCACTGACCTGTGTTGTGCAAACTCTCGTGCACTTGTTGTATGAATGTTTGTCCGAATTGCAGCTATTCTTATTTCTTAAGGTCCAAAATCACTTCTCTCTCTTTTGGGATTATGTTCTTTATGAAACCTATCTTTGCCACGGCTCTTGTCTTCTGTTTGTGCCATGCTCAGCACACTGGAGTCATGACTCTGGACTAGATCTTAGTAACAGCACTACTAATGCAACTGATTTTTTTAAAAGATAACCAGATTCTCTGCAGATGTAAAGCACCTCTACCTTATCCATCCCTGGAGCAGAATGTGTTTCCTGTTCTTGTTCTTTGGGAAAACAGAACTTACAACTCTGCATGATACGTTTTGCTGCTTTCTTTAGAGCACTGACCTGTGTTGTGCAAACTCTCGTGCACTTATCCAAACTATTTTTGTTAGAGTAACTGTGTGTGTGTGTATACTTCTTACTTATACCTGCACACACACATAAAACACCAGAATTTCCTGCATTTATCTTGGACTTAAATAAAAGAAAAAAATTGTATTTTTGTTGGGTGGTTTTTTTAGTTTGAGATGACAGTTGTGGAGAACAGAACTCAGATTTTGAATTGGATTCTTCAGGATTTTGCAAGTTTTACCAGTTTTTAGATAACAGAGATACAGATCTAAAGATCGACTCAGTATTTTGCCACCATCTAGAATATAGACATATAAAACCTTTGGTCTGTACTTGTAAAAGTATATAATTTTAAGATAAACTAAAACAGTAGAGGAGGTGATCCAATTTTTTTTTTTTTTTTTTTTTAATTACTGTGTGAGAATTTCCATTTAAATCAGTCATCAAAAAGTCATGCAAAGTCATTGTTTGTAGAACAGGACATTGGGGCCTTTGTCTCTTCAGGTGGGAAAAAAACGTAATTCTGGGGAAGATTTTTTATTTGTAAATTTGTGAAGTTTTATATTGATCTAAAATTTTTTACAAAATGGACAAACTGCACAGACATTGCTATAAGCTGCAAACAGCTCGGAGATGGTGAGCTGTGTGTTAGAGGTCTATGGTTTTTCTCCAGCTCCTGTGCACTCTGTGATGACTGTTCTGGCTGCGCAGTGTCTTATTCGTGCCTGCGCTGCTTGGGCTTGTCCAGAACCACACGCTCATCTAAAAGGTCAGGACCTTTAGTTAGACTTGAGCATACAACATCTCAATTGGAGCTGGCTTGTGTCCAGCTAGTCAGGAGATCGTGTGAGGCTTTTGCACAGATTTCTTTTTGATGTTTAAGCCCAGAATTGGACTTTAGTCGGATGCTATTTTTTATCACTTATTTTGGAGCTAAAATCAGAGTTGAGTTCACAATTGAAGTTTAGCACTTACTCTATAAAGCTGGCAATGTCCTGAAGGCTCCTAGGTCGTAGTGAATTCCTCTGCAATGCCTAAGTCTCTGAGATTTCCACTCATCTGACTCTTTTCTATCTCAGTAATCCAACTTGGCTTTATTTCAGCTGTTACTGTGTTCATTTGTAAAAGTAACATCTCTTGGGTACAGGTTTAAAAGTAAGCCTGAAACTTGCCCTTCCTTCTCTTTGGTTACTGCAGTGCAGTTCTGTTAAACTAATCAAAATGGGTGTTGAGAACTGTTTCTGAATAGTTTGGTAATAGTGTTCTTCTCTGTGTGTTTACAGGCACAGATGTGAATGCAACAGTAATAGATGAAAATGACCCTATTGATGAAGTGCAGGGATTTCTGTTTGGAAAACTAAGGTAAAACTCAGTTGCAAGTTTTTGGTCTTTCTCATATCAAAAAACTTGATGCCAAGATGCTCATATTTTGCTTTGTTATTATTTTTTACATGTCTGAGTTACCCAGATGTGTTAGCAACACACCTTTTCATATGCTTAGTTTCTTTGAGTTAGCAGCAGACTTGCTCACAGGAAACCACAGAAGTTGTTTTCCCCTCATACCCTTTCAGGCAGTTGTATCCTGACTTGACAGAAGAGCTGAAAGAGCTTAGGAAACACCTCGTGGAAAGTACCAATGAAATGGCACCTTTGAAAGTCTGGCAGCTGCAAGGTAAGCTGTACGAAGACTTTCAGTATTGCACTACAAAAACTTAATGTATCTTCTTGTGCTCTACACAAATGAGGTTGCAAGTGGCTGTGTAGAGTTGGCAGTTTGACTGTAAATTCCTGCACTGGAAACTACTGGATTTTCTAAAGCTCCTTGGCAGCATTCTGTTTAAATAGCTTTTAAAAAGATTGCTTCATGGCACTTCTGAAGCGAGGTTTGCTTTCTGTATTGTGAAGTATAGTAAGCCACTTAAACTGACTAAAATGCAGAAAAGAAAAGGAAATGTCAAGTTTCTTTCCATGGTCACATTCCTGATGTGGAAAGTTGGTATTTCTCAAGACCAAAAGACAACTATTTCAAAAGCCTCTGCATGCAACTCTGACCTGTTTCCCTGGAAGTCATCTATTAGAGGTCTGTGGAAAGGCTTCTCATCCTCTGGGGAAAAAAAAAAAAAAAGTAATTCCAAATGCTGAACATATGTTGTAGCCACAGAGAATCTGCCTGTATCCAAGGGAGGCTGTTTCTATTGGTAGCTCCTGAAACAAGCACTCGGACCCCTTCTGAAGGGCATGTCCTCCCACCTCTGCCAAAACCAAAGTGATGGGCTGGACTCTGTCTTGCTCATTGAAGCAACCCTTAGATAGGTTATACTGGTTAAGGTAAAGTTAAGATGACTCCGTGTTGGCTCATTTTCAGTTCCTGACTTCTATTTTTTCACTTCTAGATTTAAGTTTTCAAACTGCTGCTCGCATTTTGACTGCTCCCCCTGTGGATGCTCTGATGGTCATGAAAGATCTCAGTCAGAACTTTCCTACAAAGGCCAGGTAACTTTGAGTTCTAGGAAGTTTCTTATACTGAGCAGAACATGAGATGGGCAGAACTGGTTGGGTTAATGTCCGAGTTTCCATTTAGCTGGAAGCAAACACTGGGGAATGTTTATGCAGAGAAGTTCCTCAGCCTATGGTTACAAAGAGAATCTTCCAGTGTTGCTCTTGGATGGCAGCTGGTGCAGACTGCTGGAAAATTTGACAGAATTACCCATGCTATTTGTTGTGAAACGCTTCTGAACCTTTTGCATCAAATCCTCAAGAATTTATTGGATACATTTTCTGTTCAGTGGTTTTAAGCTTTATCTGTTCCCTGTATCCCACTCTTCTTCTGGGATCTGCTTTGGCAAACAGCCCAGTCAATCACACGTCAGAGACTGATGTGGAACTCCACCCTTTGCACTTTGTCAATGAATGTCTTGAGCACATTCAAATCAACTTCAAGAAATTCAGTCAGTCTAGAAATATATTTCTTTTGATAAATTCCACAACCTGGGTGGTGAAGATGGTATTATAGGAGCTCCTCCTTTTTGAGTAGGTGAAGATACACCTGAGAGTAAAAAAAACCCAACTGAATTCTGGTCTGATTTGCCACTAACTGATATTAAGATTGTGCTATTTCTAGTTTCTTAAGGCAGGCATTGCACTCTTACTGCATTTTCAGTCAGGTCTGTGAGCTGTACTTGCTCATTCTGTGATGATGCAATCACTAGATCAAATGCAAGGAAAGAAATGAGAACCCACAATGAGGAGTGAAACCCCCCTATTTTCTGCTGCCAGCCTCCACCTCTACTTTTCTGGCAGCTGCCCACTTTTATTATGGTTAATGTGAAATTAGAGATGGAGGGTTGGCCTGTGGTTAATGTTTTTATGTTCTGTTGAATTATACAGTATAAAAAAAAAAAGAGCACTTTCTATTGTTTAATGGTACCACAAAGTGACTGCAGCACTTTATACTAGGAGACTAAATCTATTTCTACATAAAGTAAAACAGTAGGATAAGTAGGTATCTAATCTATCCATTAGATATAAGAGAGATGATTCACAATGTGATGTTTTTATTTCTGTAGAGCCATAACAAAAACAGTTGTTTCTTCGGAACTCCGAACAGAAATTGAAGAGAACCAAAAGGTAATGCTTCTAGAAAGTAACGCAGCACTTCTGCACTTCTGCTTTAAATATAAATTCAAGCTTTGAAAAGAATTATTCTATTAAAAAGCTTACATTTTGCTCAAAATAATGACCCAATATTTTCACACACAACTGTGTCGTAGTATGCATCTAGAAAGTAAAGAAGTGGTGGATTGTCAAACATGAATCGTATATTTTATATATATATATAATTATTATATATGGAACATAACTTAGCTTGTTTGCTCAAATATGAAAACAGTGGTGAGAAATTCTTTGAGTGAGAACATTGTATTTGGGAATGACGACGCGGGGTTTTGCTCACAGAGCTGCCCTTACAGTGGTGGTTTGCAGCAGCCAAGTGTTCTGACAGTTACTTGATGAGTCAGTGAGTATGAAAGGGACCTCCTGGTGGGTATCTGAACTCAGAATCTGTTAACTGCATTTATCCTTATAAAATTTATTTTAAGTACAATGGAAGTACTACGTTGTTAACCCTGGCGGAAAATGTTTATTTACAGAAACCATACAGCGTAGGTGTTCCTAATCTGCAGACTCTCTTCATCTGATCTCCAGGACAGGACTGTGTCACATGTCTGTGTCACATAGGTTTTTAACAGTTTCTGAGTTACATGGCTGTAGCAATGGCTTCTCAGTGTTAGTGTGTTTGTGTAGGGCTGTGCCTGCTGCGTGGCCGCCTCTCAGTCTCTGACCTACTTCTCATTTGAGGGGTGTCTCAGATGTGTGAAGTCTGAATGTCTCTGCTGCTTGTCTGGGTAATAGTTAAAAAGAGGCTGAGTTCAAGTTACTGATTTTAGGTTTTGATTATATTCTGAACTTCTCAAAAGCAACTAGATATTAAAAGTGTGAGTGCTTTTTTAGTGGAAGCTGTTAAGAGTCAAAATGTAGTTATATTTTTAGATTATTTTAAATATGTCTGACCTCAATGGAACACAGCTTGTTAGAAAGCAGTTGATGAAAAGCAAACACATTAAGCATCTTCTTACAGTTTTAAGGATGCAGAAGAAATTTAGCTTTCATTAACCGATTTGAGATGGTGCTTAGATATCTAAATTCATCAGCATTTACAAGGAAGTCAGAATAAACTCAAAACCTTCTGCCATGGCATAGAATGATTCATATTGTGTGGAGGAAATAGTGGTTCCAGTGTTGGTGTTTTGAGGTGAAACTATCGAAGGAATAAAATTTAACAGCCATCCAAGGAAGTCTATGTGTGCTTTGAAACAGAACCATAACCCCCACCCCAAGCTGTGAGTGACCTCTGGAGGTCTCCGAGTAGGTGCTGGTGTGTGCAGGAAAATGTTTCAACAGCTCTGATGTGTCCTTGGCATTAGCAAAGCACTGGAAAAGACAAGAGCCACTTGGGAATTCTGTACAGGCTTTTGTACAATTAAAATACATCCCATAGTGCAGTCTGGATGGTAATAAGAACAAAGCCAAACAACAGCTTTTGTTTCATGATCTATCCTGATCTATTCACACATTTCAGTCTCTCTTCGTATGAGTAGGAAAAATACAAAGTATGTTAAGTACACACACATATCTTTGTTTAAAGTCTAATCAATGATATTTGGCTAGTCTAGTAGTAAATGCAAAGTTACCTGACATCTACTTACACGTCCCCTGAAATTCCTGTTCTGAAAGAGAAATCCCTTGTTGTTCAATAGCCATAAAATGAGAAAAGAAGGGATGCGGTTTGTCACTGGCGTCCGGTGTGGTTCTGGAAGGGACAAAGTATAGAATGTAAGTGCAAGCTAAAGCCACCTGGTGGCTTTTCTGTTACGGGTTAGATCAGACTGGTCCACAGGTAAACCCACGATTTTGTGGATTTTCTTTTTATTCAAAGTATGTCTAGGCTACTAGATCCACATCTGGCTAGATCTAACCCTGCCCTTTGAAGCTATTCTTTGCATGACTCAGTTTGTGTGGATATTATTTGATGGTGAAATTCACTGCTCTTAGTAAGTTATAGTTTACTATGCAATTATTCACAAAAAGATACAATTTAACACTGCATGTGCTGAGCTCTTCTCTGGGAGCTTTTTTATTTAAAAAAATATATACATTCTTCCTGATTAGGTGCTGCTTTCCTGTTCCTGGTGCTTCCCATGGTACTTCTGCTATCCCTCTGTTTGCTTTGCTCACATTCTTCATATTATTAGTGTTTACAAATGTCCAAATACTGTGTTTCTCCTTCAGTGTTCATCATGCCTCTTAACAGAATTTTGTAACTGGTACTGCAAGGCAAGAGGTATTGGAAGAAATCAAAGTAATTTTTCAGTTTTTAAACAAAATTTTTCATGCTAGAGTTGGGAAATTTGCTTGAGAAGGACTGTATTTTATTCACCTCTCCTGATTGACCATTGTTCTCTGTGCTGCTGCCTCACTTCAGCAGCAGGTATCCATTCAGATGGGGTACTGCTTACAGGTACTTGGAAAAACTCCAAAATATCATTAAGAGTTTTTCCAGTTGTGTGCTGCCTGATTTGGGGGGGATCAGATGAGAATGGCAGCTCATCCCCTTTTCATTGATGACGTATCCCCTGGGTCAGGACTTAACTGATGCCTTAAATGCAGCAGCTAGTTCTGCCCAAAACTGTGTGTGAAAGAGCTGAGACTGGATGCTATTGTCTATCTACTTTGTGGTTTGTCAGCTAAAAAAAATTAAATTGCTTCTCACAAGTAGTTTCGATTATTTAATTTAAGTATATTTATGAAGTCTACCCATGGATTTTCCAAAGCACTACTGAATCACACAGCAACAAACACAAGTCCCATTTACGTATCTATGCACTACTCAGCTTCAGTTGTTTTTTCCTCTGGTATGGATGTGCACACAAAGCCAGCAAGGACTGAGAAGTAATGCAGTAAGGGAGATAAAAATCTCTAATTTGACATAGTAAACTCGTAATTTCTTTCTGTGTAGAGCATTCTTCTAACAGCCTTCTACTTTCTTTCAGTATTTCAAAGGAACACTAGGATTGCAACCGGGAGATTCTGCCCTCTTCATCAACGGATTGCTTATTGATTTAGACACTCAGGACATATTTAGGTAGGAATGTTTTATCTTTCAGAGTCATTGTATCCTGTTTAGGAGCCTGCATCCTGCCTGTGCATGGACGATAAAGGCGTTTAGACAGTTTTGAACCTTCTTCACAAAGTCCATCTCTAGAGTCTGTTTAATTGTTAAGTGCTGGGAAAAGCAAATCATGGTTCCTTCTCTTAGGCAAGTACATTTCTAACAAAAAAGCTGGTATGAAATCTGGAATACCCTGGAAGATCAGAATGGGAAGTCACCTTTGTACCATTCATTTGATCTGTGCTGTGACTAGCAAGGTTGTAGTCTCCAAGACTGTCAACATACAGGTTTTACTCTGAAATAGTGGACTGATTCTCAAAGGATAAACCACTGTACAGTTTTCATTAAAACCACCCTATATCTTTGTCAAGATTTGTTTCAATAATGTGGAATTGAAATGACACATATGTCATGTTTTAGTTATCTTGATTTAATGTAGTTTTTCAGAGAAATACAATGTAATTGAATATGTTTAAGTTATCACAAGTTTCTTATGACAGTTAGAAATAGGTTATAAATAAGAAGTAATGCACTGACATGGCAGACTTGTTTATACCTTTCATCTATTAAGACTTAGGGTAAGAGCAAGTTATTTGTTTTGTCTCTAAAATTAAACAACGTTTTTGTTTTCCCTTCCAGCTTGATTGATGTGCTACGCAACGAAGCCCGTGTCATGGAAGGCCTGCACAGCTTAGGAATTGAGGGTCTTTCCTTGCACAACGTTCTGAAGTTGAACATCCAACCATCAGATTCTGACTATGCTGTGGACATCAGAAGCTCCGCTATTTCAGTGAGTAGGGTTTTATATAAGAAATACCTTATTTGCCACTGGGCACTGCATTTTTAAGCTGTCAGGGGAACTTTTGTTCTTATCTCACAATCAGCTCTGAAATTGCAGTGAAGAAAAAAAGGAAAGTAAGGTTATAAATATAATTAGTTCTTTTTAAAAAGCTTAACTTTTTATTCGTACAGTTGTCAATGTAGTGTCTGATCTTAAAGTATTTTACAGTCTCAGACTCAAGCAGGAGGACTGTCAATCACTAAAATGCCTTTATTTTTTTCTTAGTGGATCAACAACCTCGAAATTGACAGTCGGTATAACTCCTGGCCTTCCAACGTGCAAGAACTGCTGCGTCCCACGTTTCCAGGCGTGATCAGGCAAATTAGAAAAAACTTCCATAATTTTGTAAGTAGTAATCTGACTGGATATGAAATGTGCATTTTGTTTTTTTCAACAGCAGGGACATCTGCTTTTGCAACTTCCCTACACATACGCTGGACTCCCAGTCACTTAAGCATCTTGAGACAGGATACCTTTTTCTATAACGTTTTGTTCTACCTGTACCTCTTCCGTGTATGTTGTGACTGGAATTCAGAGATTACTGAGCATGATTCTCTGCTATTTATTAGATGCCCAAAATGGCTTTATCAGTGAAAAACACTATCATCTGACGAGTGAGAATTTGATGTATTTCAGCTTTGTGATAATAGCGGAAGCTGGTTAATGAAATCCCTCAAATTTGTTAATTAGTACCTTCTTAACAGTTAAGACGAACTTGAGTTGTTTCAGTTAGAAAGCATTCTTGCACCAAGACTTCAAAAGATGATCAACAGCCCTCAGCTTAATCCTGGGAGTTCTTTTAGTCTCTAGGTAAACTACTTAAGGTTAGATCTAACGAGGAGTTTGTAAATTCTGTCCTGTAATTCTCCTGAGGCAGAGTGGTCTGATAGCAAAAAGGACTCCTCTGATTAGTGGCAAATCAGGACCTGAACCGCCTCCAGCTTTGGGACCATTAATGTGTTATTTTTTTCTCTGAAGATAAGTAGTTTTAACATGGAAATTACTAAATGAAAAGACAGCAACTGGCATGAATACAGGGCCCTAAATTAATTCTGAATAGCCCAGTTCTGTCCAGGGTTGGGCTTGCTTTGAGAACATCTCAGCAGCATCGGCCTTCCAGGGGGCTGAGCAGAGCAACGCTGTGTTCCTCAATTCTGACAAATGCCTTTATCTCCTGTGTGCACCTGAATGGGTGGATCTGTGTGCCCACAGAGGCAGATCCTAGATGTTAGGGTATACTGAGGTAAAGATACAAAGTATGTAACAAGTCTGGACTCTTCTGGTTAAAGGAGTAGTTTAGACTGGGTATTTTTGATAATGGACTTAAAGACTTTAGAAGAAACTGTTACTCAGTGGGCCTCATCTCCCTGGCAGTGTGTAAAACAGGACTGATGATAATTCTGCACTGAGAGGTGACTGAAGTGCTCTCTAATCAAAATCCTGGACCTTGACTTCTTAAATGAGTAGAAACTTCTCACTTGCAATTTGTACACAGGTGCTGATAGTAGATCCTACTCACGAGACCACAGCGGAATTACTGAACGTGGCAGAGATGTTCTTCAGTAACCACATCCCACTGAGGTAATTGCTATGTTTTAATGGGATTTTTTTTTTGAATATCAGCTTTATTTTTGTAACCTCTTCAATTGTAAAATTCTCACTGCTAGAACACTGTAAAATGTTTCATGTCTTGTATTGGTGGTTGGGAAGGGCATTTACTAAAACTGTTTCTTATTTGAAATTTTAATAGTAACTTTTTTTTTTTGGTAACTAACTAATTTACTAACTAATAGTAACTAAGTTTTTTAGTAACTTTTGGCATTAGTAAAATGGAGTTCAGTTTCTTTAACAGTCCAAAAGTAACTTAAAAGCAAGTACTTCGGCTGAAAAAGAGATGAAAAGCAGGACTCTGATGGACTCACCATTAGAGATTATATGTGCTAAGTTTAATTCCTGGCCGCTCTGCTCAAAATCTTATCAGTATATTCCAGAAAAAGCCTTTGTCTGAGATTATGATCATGGTTGACAGTTGTATGAAGAGCTGATTATTCCTTAGTACAATATATTAATGATCTGGGGATTTATTTGATTGCAGGATAGGGCTAGTCTTTGTGGTTAATGACTCGGAGGATGTTGATGGACTTCAGGATGCTGGTGTTGCCCTCCTTAGGGCATACAATTATGTGGCACAAGAAATGGACAATAACTATGCTTTCCAGACTGTCATGTCTGTAAGTATTCATTTAAAAGGGAAATTAATGTTTTAATATTCTCCATGTATGTAAGATTATGTTAACATGCTAATAAGGTAATGGAAGAAGTGTTTCTTTGACTTGGTATCAGAGTATCTCCAAACACTAGTATCACACACTCCATGTTTCTTTAGAAAGTGCTTCTGGCCTAACTTTAACAAGTGAGACTAGATTTAAATGTGACACACACCACCCTTGCATATTTTTCTGAGACTGCCTCTTAGCTCATTCTGCCAGTGAGTTCTAAACTGCTGTACCCCTTCGATATAACAGTTTGTTTTGAACGGTGCCTGCTGCATGCTTCTGCCACATCAAAGGGTAACAGAGGTGCTAGTAAATGTGTTTTCACTTGTGGTTTGACGTTGTTGTACAAATCGACAAGCTGGGGTGTATGTAACATTAAACTGCTGGTGACTTGAAGACAATGACTTTTATTCTCTTTTTTTTTTTTTTTTTTCCTTTTTTTTGTAAATTGAAATAAAATTTTTTCCAGGTCAACTTACCTTTGGTAAGGACAGAAGCTTTACAGTTGCAGCTGTCAACTTCATTTGTATCCTCTCTTCAGATATATAACAAAGTGAAAACAGGAGATCAGCTGAAAGTGGAGCATGTGGTTAGCGTTCTGGAGAAACAATATCCTTATGTGGAAGTCAACAGCATTCTGGGAATTGATTCTGCCTATGATCAAAACAGAAAGGTAAGAATTCATGAAATAGAGTCTTGCACTTTTTTGTTTCAACACTGTTTTGAAAATAGTTGCATACAATTTCTTGATCCAATTCTCTTACTAACCAGGTAGCTATTTTGTTATCAGATTGGGTGACTTTCAGTAATACTTTAGTAAGTATTCGTTCAGCACAAAGCTTTATATAATAGACATTATATATAATACATTGTAATACATACTTTAAAAAACCCTATACCTATAGTACCAGAGCCAAGGTAACTCTCTTGTGACTCATCAGTCATGCTTTCATGCTGGTTTGCAGACTATAGTAGAGTTTAAAATTACTTGGAGAAAACCAAGGTGATGGAATGGTTCATAAGAAACCAAGTGGCTTAATGTCTGTGAGGGATTGCTGTGAGTTTTCTTTATCGGTATTTGAACACTGTGTGAGAGAAAGTGATGATAATGATGAACTCAAAATGTCTTTCTTACAGCAAGGCATTCAACAATCTTCCTCAAATAATTTCTTCAAGTTATTTTTATGGTTGATACTTTTCTCAATGGAGAAAATTGGGAGAGGAAATCACTATTGGATCTCTTCTATGTGAGATGAAGCAGATTTTATTTGAGGTTCCAACTTTTCTCAATGGAGAAAATCATGAGAGCAAATCACTATTGCATCTCTTCTATGTGAGATGAAGCAGATTTTATTTGAGGTTCTATAGAGAGATATTCATATTTTTGTTGAATATGCTAAAAGAAAGAATGAAAATACTGTCTACAATAGCTCTGTAACACAGATGATACTGCCTACATCTGCAAATGCAAGGAATGCAGTTAGGGTTATGAAAATAGGCTCATGCTTTCCATCTTCTGATGTAGGAAACTGAAGGGAAAAGCATTTTGTAGAAATCCAAAGTCATAAAAGACAGACAATTCTGTATGACCGGAGAGTAAATGTTTTTTCACAAGTTCAAAAAATGTTCTTAAAAAATAATAAAAAACCCCTCTACCTGTTTGTGTTGCATATGCTTCCATACATAAAGTCAGATCTCATGTTGTGCATTTTTTTGCCATTACCAGAAAGTGCTCATTGGAATTAATTTATTTACAGTATGAACTTAATGGAATACTTTGCACTTCTGTATTACGAAGTAACTCTTTTTGCTTTGAAACTCTGAAAGACAAGGACATCTTGTGTATGCAAGATACAGAAAATACCTTATGCACCGCGTAAAATTAATATTTTCTGTATTGTATAAAAGCTGGAAGGACATCTTGGTGTGTTTAGAATAGACTTGTGTGGATATTGCATGGAAACCCTCATGTTATGAACCTCATGGTAAAGGGCTGATGTGATAAAGCTACTTCTTTCCCTGGATTTAGGCGGCGAGAGGTTACTATGAGCAAACGGGTGTAGGTCCTCTCCCTGTCGTGCTGTTCAATGGAATGCCTTTTCAAAAAGATCAGCTGGATCCTGATGACCTGGAAACCGTCACGATGCACAAAATCCTGGAAACCACAAGCATCTTCCAGCGAGCCGTGTACCTGGTAGGTGCTGAGTTATGACTTTAGAGAAAAAAAATACTTGGAAAAACTGACTCAAAATTCCCTGAATATGTAATACAGCAAACAACTTAACTTGTATCATTTCTTGGTTTGTTTTTTGTTGTTGGTGGTGTTTTGGGGTTTGGTTGTTTGGGGTTTTTTTAAGTCATCTAAGGTAAATATACATGTATAATAACAAATATTGCTTGTTTCTTCCTTCAGGGTGAATTATCTAATGACCAAGATGTGGTTGAATATATCATGAACCAGCCTAATGTCGTTCCAAGAATTAACTCCAGAATCTTAACGTCTGACAGGGAGTACCTGGATCTGACAGGAATGAGTAAGGGATGCTCTTCATTGCATTAAACCTGAAGTATCTGAGTAAAGGCTTTTGCTGTCCTAATGGAAAGCTCTAGCAGCAGAGTATTACCAGCACCCCAAGTGATGCCGGGGGAGATGTTATGTACAATAGCAATCTTAATGTCTCCAGATTTTTTTAAACCAGGAATTGGTTTTGATTTTGTACAAACCTTTAGGGGGGAATATGACTCATGAAGTTGAGAAATCAACAATGCTAGCAAAAGCCAAGAACAATCATATAATGTATGAAGCAACAGCTTGTTTCTTATTTCTAACCTTCTTTTGAGCAGAGATTGACAGTCAACTCTGGAATTACTTAAGATTTAGCAGAACTTTTCAGGGCTAGATGTATTAACACCCGGTGCGGTGACTCTGCAGTGTAATGTTGGTGTTGCAAAAACACTTGTACAACTACCTTTCTTGAGTTCCTTGAAAAATAGGAACACAGTGGATTTTTAAATGTGTATTATTTACATAAATCAACTTCAACTAAGTGAGACTTGAACAATTGAGCTGACTTCTGCACATCAAATATACACTGTTGTTATTGATGTAGCTTATGAAACAAAATGTAACTTAGGAGAAAACTTATGTAACAAAAATGTATTCCTCAGCTTAGACATTAACAGTGGAAATGAGATAAAAAGCCGTATCCCGAGGGACAAAATGAGATGTGCTTTTAATGTTCTGGTAGTGACTTTTCTTTTGTTTTACACGGAATATTTGCTTTTCCATCAAATGCTTTTTCTCTTCCTCAGATAACTTTTACGTGGATGACTATGCTCGATTTACCACGTTGGAGTCCAAGGACAAGACAGCTGCTGTCGCAAACAGCATGACCTACTTAACAAAGAAAGGTAACATCTGCAGTGGATTATGAACCCAAATCTCATTTTATATGCGTTTCCAAGCACATACACAGTACTCAACACACACATCGAGCCTTGCTCAGGCCTGTGGGTAACGACGCAATCTAAGTGTTAAAAATAAAAGTTGCTTTTTTAATAAAAGATGGCATCTACATGGAACGAGAATGTTCCCCTCTTTAAACCCAGCCCAGCCTTCAATGAATAATGAAGTCCCACCCAACGTGCTCTTGCTGAATTGCAAATGGCCACCAGCAATGCAGCGGTGTAAGCTCTGATCCTGCAGTGACACTGACTGGAAAAATACAAAAGGGCTCTCTGTCTTGTAATTCAGAATTACTAAAAGTTACATGGATTCAGAAGAAAATCGTTATTGCCCATTGTATAAGACAACACCTAATGTGGTCTGTGCTGTTTTTATTGCTCCAGTGCATGCACTGCTTTTTCAATGGTAGAATTGTTTTATTACAGTTATACATAAAGTCTCCTGTTAGCGTTAAAACTCAGCTGTAGTTCTCGCTGTCAGAAAGGTGTGCACAGACATCACACAGGGCTCCATCAGGCCTTTTCCTATACCCGTTTCAGTTGGGTATCATAAATAAGCTGCTGGCATTTGACCCAGTTCCTCTTGTTCCTGTCTGTCATCTTCACTAGACTCTCACAACTTTCCCCAGTCCTGTCCCAGCCACTGTCACCTGCGTGCACTGCCTTCAGTGTTCCCACTGCTCCTTCTGTCTCCTATTTGCCCTTGGTTCATGTTCAGTCACTTGGATCCAAAGAAGGTCCTTGTTTTCCCTTTGTAGAGTATTAATTAAGCCTACACCTCTGCATGCTCATTTGAAAGTGTGCATTAATTTGCAATCCCATGGCTTGACAGTTTCGGGTCAGTGCCTCTTCTGTCATTTAAGATACTTAATAACTGGTACCTGATTACAGTAATGCTGTAGCACATTTATTTTTTAAAATAATAGGAAAGTTATATGTATTGCTGGCTCAGCAACACTACTGAAACAGCACTGTCATGCTAGTTTTCAAATAAAGAAGATAACAGAAACAGTTAACATCCAAGTTGCAAATGCACAGCAATTTTTGCAAACCATCTTCAAAGTGATGGTGGTCGTATGTATTAGTGCTGTGGCATGAAAATCATCAATCTATTTGAGGGGAAGAAAAGGTTATTCTAATAAAATTAGCACAATCTTGTTGCTTGTTGGACTTGAACTTTAGTGATTCAGTTATGCCCAGTACGGTGCTGCAGCTTCTTGATACGCATTGAGATTACTGTCAAATTATTAATGTCTCTCTCCTTTCCCCCTTTCCTTTCTGCTTTTTGACCAGGAATGTCTTCCAAGGAGATCTATGGTAACTAGCGCTTTAGCATTTCATACGTTGTTGTTATTCTGGGAATTTTCTGGTTCCTTTATAACATTGGCTTTAGAACCAGCAGGAAATGAAGCAAGCTGTTTAAATGCATGTTTCCTGCAGCACTTTTTTCTCTATACAAAACTGATTTTGTGAACTAACAGCTTCAGTACGAAGAAGTGGTTGTGTGTGTAATCTAGCTGGAATCTGTAAGTGATTTAGAGGTTCCTTTAAAATTTCTACATTAAAAAGGGAGCAAAAAAAAAATAATCCAGCTTAGAAACAGTGATGCATGCTATCCCATGTGAGTTTTCTGAATTGGGTAAATGAAACCTAATATAATACCAATACCATTATTCTTGTCTTGCCAGATTTCATAGCTTAGCTTCATCCGTAGCTTTCCTATGTAATTCTACTTTTTTTGAAGTCCTTGCATGTGCATCATATTTTTCCTCCAAATGAGGAAAACTTGCAGCTTTCCTTCCCTTCACCCTCAAATCTCTCCCACATTTTTATTTTTTTTGCAGATGATTCCTTTGTTAGACCAGTTACTTTTTGGATTGTTGGTGACTTTGATAAGCCTTCAGGGAGGCAGCTGTTGTATGATGCAATTAAACATCAGGTAGGTAACATTTGCATTTGAGTGGGTTAGTGCTTATAAAGCAGTAGGTAGAGGACTGAAAAACACAGGTTGTGCTTCTGCCTGTTGTAGGACCTGGGGAGAGTGGTTCTCCTGCGGGGTCTCTCATTTCCAGCCTCATCTTATTTGTAGGGGCTGGAACATCACTGACCTTCTTGTACTAGGACAGAGTCCCCTCTTAGCATTATGCTACTACAATAAGGAAAAGATGTTCTTTTAAGCCCTAAGTGGCTCTAAATTGAAAATGTCTGTGTTTCGGTTTGGAGATGAATGTGAGCATTGCTCTCTGCTCTGTCTCACTTGTTCTGGGAAGGTAATTGAATCATAGATAGCTTATCCTAAATCACTGCTTTGCCAGACCTCTGAGTGGTGGCCACGGTGCTATCTCTCTTATGTTGCACAATATTAGCCAGAAGATTCCCTACATGTAAACTAAATACTCTATATGTTAAATTAGTTCATTCACCCCTTTAACCTTCTGCTGTTATTTACCTAATTTGGAATCTGGTTTTCTGGTTAAGAAGTATAAAGTTTTTGCTACAGTGTTTATTATAATAGACTTATTCTTCTCATTTAAAACACACCTGAAATCTAAACCTTTCCTAATGCATCTTTTGTTAAACACAGAAATCCAGCAATAATGTTCGAATTAGCATGATTAATAATCCCAGTGAAGATCCAAATAGCCAGAATACACGTGTTGCGAAAGCCATATGGGCAGCTCTACAGACACAAACGTCAAATAATGCCAAGAACTTTATCACCAAAATGGCAAAAGAAGAAATTGCAAAGGCAGTAGAGGCAGGAGCCGACATCTTGGAATTTGCTGTTGGGGTAAGCACGTTTATTGGCATTCACAAAGGTATTGCTTGTTCTTCTCATGTTTTTTTCAGTGTAGTATGTTCATATGCAAAAGATGCAGTAAGAGCGGAGAGTAACACTGTTGGCTTTGCTTGGTGGGTTGTTTTTGGTTTTTTTTTGCTCTGAAAGGTAAACTTACCTAAATGTAACAGTCTGTCTAAAACCAGTGTGAATCCTGATACGCATCAATACTACATAATTTTGAAAAGTCAAAATGAATGCAGATTCAGGGATCTATTTAAGTAAGTCAGTTGTTTTGTTGGGGGATAAGAGAGAAGTGTAATGTCTTTTACAAGCTGAGAAAAAAACCTACATTTGTGAAAGTAGGTTTAAAAAAGTTAGGCAAGAATCACTTATGAAGAGAAGAATGGAACAACTGGTCCAAGTAGCAACAATTACTCTGGCTGTGGCTTTTCACATCAGAAGTTGGGATAATGTTTGAAGGTGACAGGCAAGAACTAGGTTTAAGATCATAAAGAAAAGGAGCCTGGGGATAAACTTTAGCAAGATACAAAGATGTTCTTGAATGGAAACAAAAAAGGTGCATTTTAAAAAAGTATGCAGAGGTGTACTTTTCTTCCTGTGTCAATGTCAAGTATTCTTTTCTTTCAGGGTATGGATAACAACATTTTCAAAGAAGCCTTTGAGTCTCCCAAGGTGGATTTCATCCTGTCCCATGCTATATATTGCAGAGACGTTCTAAAGCTGAAGAAGGGGCAGAGGGCTGTGATCAGCAACGGAAGGGTGAGATCAATCAGCAGACAGTAACAAATATTCCACGTGTGGAATTGTCTTGGTAGCTTTTAGGCTTCTGAAAGCTAGAGGAGTGAGACTTGCTAAAGTCTTGCTGGAACCGGCCTGGTATTCTGTTGCCCCTTCAAGATGTAGTGTTGCATGTATAATTTAGTGTGCTTGACTTTTGCAAATCAAGCACTCAGTGATAACTTCAAGCATGCATTTTATGCCTCAGTGTGGGACTCTTGGCTCTAAATAGCTAGACTTTATGTCAATGGCAGCAGAGGTTAACAAATAATACCAGTCTAAACAGTTGACAACCACCTAGACCGGGCTGGAGTATTTATTTAATACATATTTGAGTTTTGTTTCAGTGTAGCCTTTACCTAATAATGCTGATCCTGCTTTTTTGTAGATTATTGGTCCGCTAGAGGATGGTGAGATGTTCAATCAGGATGATTTTCATCTCCTTGAGAATATCATACTAAAGACATCAGGACAGAAAATCAAATCTCAGATTCAGCAGCTGGGATTCGAAGAAGATCTGTAAGTAAAAGTGAAGAGGCAGACCAAAAAGTGGTGGTGGTATGATAATGTGAGTCTGCATCCTGGAGAAAGCTTTATCTGGTACACCTGGATGGGTGCTATAAAGAAGCATGCATGTGTTTGTATGGTGATGGCTCAGCTGTTCAGAGGGGGCAAGTCAGAAAGAAAAAAGATGGAAATAACCTTTATGGGGTTTAAAGTGCTTTAGCGACTTTTTTTGTAGTTCACAAGCTGCTGGAGGAATGGAGCTGTAACTGTATCCCCCAGACTCAGGAGGCAGTAGGGCATGCTGACAACCCCCACCATGTGCTCAGAGTTCATCCTTCTCGACCTGTTATCAGGGTCTAGCAGCCGCCTGCCACGGCTGGGCTGTTACCTCCAGCCGAAGCTGGAGGAGCTGTGTTGGCTGGAGCCTCACTGACAAGCAGCAAGAAACCAGGAAAGTGCCCAAGTCTGTAGGAATTTACTAGAGATGTGTTCAAGTGAACGTGAAACAGTAAATGTGTTGGTACTTGCTGAGATACTCCTTGGATGACAGCAGCACAGGGAGAACAGCCTGCTCAGTCACCTGAGGGGCTCAGGAAGTAGCGTCTTGGATTGGTGGGGTGGGGATGCAGGTAGATTTAAAAAATAAAGAAAAAGGGTGGTGATACATGCTACAGGGGTTGGCTTAATTCTTCGTTGTGTTCAGGTAGGTGAAGTTTCATGCAAGGTTTAGTTGACTCTGGTGACAGCTTTACCAACACAAAGATGTCTGTATGCAGACAAGAGTTGTTTGCTGCTGTGGGATGTGTCACCAAGTGGCATAAATTGCTGAAAATTATTAAATTTATTCTTGAAAATGCTTTCTGCACTGGATTACCTTTCTGCTCCTCTAAATGGGAGAGAAGCCTAACTTTCATTAATATTAAGGCATTCAGACTTCTTGTGGGTTTTCCTCCCAGCTAAATCTTAACTGACACACTGTTCTAAACCATTTACCTCCAATATGTCTGGTTTTCCTAACTCACGTGTAGGACTACTCTGGTATTGATTTAAAAGCAGAAGGAAGGGAAGAAAACAAGACACTGGAATATGCCTTCTGAATCTGTTTGCAGTTCTGTTGAGTGCTGCCTGGCTTATCAATATAAAAATTATTTAGTAATGTATTTCCCTTGTCAGTACTACAGAATCATGTAAACTGCTTTTAACTTTTTAAAGAGAAAAAAATAGGAAAAGAGGTAAATGTAAGAAAATAAAAATCATACTTATAGATAACTATTGCAAAAAGCTCAGAGGTGAGCTAATCAAAAGAAAGTAATCTTTAGGTTTGAAAGAACTGGAGTCCATAGGTGTGTGTTTGTGTGTTGGAGCGTGTAGCTAAGAAGATGGTTTCTTTCATATTTAACATTACATTTTTCTGTGATGCTGTTTAACTCTTAAAGGTGGGTCAAGTAAGCTGAGCGTGAGGTCTTTTGGGCAGAAATCTTGTGTGATTCCGACTCCTAGGTGGGCAGGTTTTAACAGCATTCCAAACACTTTTGCACCTGCTGCTGTGTTGGGAATCAAAAGAGAAATAAGGGTGAGAGGATGGAGGAAGAGGACATAGTTTGAACAGAGGCTGGTTTTGGACAGAGCAGTGGCTTCTTGGTTTCAATACTGGCAATGTTTTTAAAAAGCTTTTGAAAGTATCATCTGCTGCACTGGAAAACACTGTAGAACTTGGCAGCTGTCACCAGGCTTGTGGTTCTGCTATGAACAATTTTAACAGCTGTCACTATAAATCTATGAGACTTAATTCAGGAAAAGCTGACAGTCCCGGTCAAGTAAGTTAAGTGTGAGGTCTTTTGGGCAGAAATCTTGTGTGATTCCGACTCCTAGGTGGGCAGGTTTTAACAGCATTCCAAACACTTTTGCACCTGCTGCTGTGTTGGGAATCAAAAGAGAAATAAGGGTGAGAGGATGGAGGAAGAGGACATAGTTTGAACAGAGGCTGGTTTTGGACAGAGCAGTGGCTTCTTGGTTTCAATACTGGCAATGTTTTTAAAAAGCTTTTGAAAGTATCATCTGCTGCACTGGAAAACACTGTAGAACTTGGCAGCTGTCACCAGGCTTGTGGTTCTGCTATGAACAATTTTAACAGCTGTCACTATAAATCTATGAGACTTAATTCAGGAAAAGCTGACAGTCTTAATTCAGGAAAAGCTGACAGACCTCTAAGTCACTGTACTGCTTCTTGGCAAAGCTGTGATGTACAAATCAATTTTCACTGAACTTTCAGAGGTTTTACATTTTCAAGATTAAATATATTCTTAAAATACTAGACCAAAAATCTATGGGAATAATAAAAAGGAAGCTGTCAGAAATAATCCCCCTTTAATGATAGCACACTGCCCCACTCCTCTCCTCCCCCTCTCCCCAAATAAAGTTTTTTTACAGACAGGATTGCTTCCCAGTTCTTAGAGCTGCAGTGTAAACTGGGAAGACTGCTGTGAAAGGAGGGTTTGATGGGAATGGCTTACAGGTCTGAGGGGTTGGTGAAGTTGAGGAAGGCAGTGCCTGTAGCACAGCTGAGCCCTAAAAGACCAACTTTGGTACCCTCAGTAACAAGCCTGCAACCTGTTTAAATTAATGGTGGATTAACCCTTATATATGTTTAATAATTCAGAGCTTGTGGAGAGAGGTAGTAAAAATGTTAGTTTGTACATCTGAATTCAGTCTGTCTTCTCTTTTGCTGCTGACTGGCAGAAATGTGGTACGTACAAGGCGTTTCCTGAGTATCTGTAAACCTATTTCTTTTTCTTTCTTCTTTTCAGTGCAAGTGACTTAGTAATGAAAGTGGATGCTCTTCTTTCTGCTCAGCCAAAGGGAGAGGCAAGGATTGAATACCATTTTTTTGAAGAACGATACAGGTATAGGATTGCTGACACTTGCCGAGCAACATGCTTTTCCTTATCCTTTAATGTTTCCATTGTTTCACGTTGCATTTAACTTAATAAAAAAATATCCAACTAGCAATAGGAAAGTCCCCAACAGTTTTGAGGGCACAATGAGATTCCAGAAATCAATTTTATACAAATTTATGTATATATGTATTTGTTTTCTCTATCTAGTTTCAGAAGGCACATAGCATTTAGAAAGTAATTTGACTTCAAAATGATATGGATAGTGTTTTTCCTATGTTTATCCTACATTTGATACTTTTAAAATTGTTTTTTCTTCTGTTTAGTGCAGTTAAACTGAGACCAAAAGAGGGGGAGACGTACTTTGATGTTGTGGCTATTGTTGATCCTGTGACCAGAGATGCTCAAAGACTCGCTCCGTTACTTTTGGTATGTCTGTAATGCAATGCATTTTATGGCAATTTCAAAAAGTTGTCTCAGTTTGGCTTTCTAATAGTGTGTCTGGGTTGCACAACACATTTATTAGTGGAAAAACTAATTATGCTATACTGCACACTAACAAAATAATGCTTAGATGTTGTCTAGATAGCTTTTAGTTTCACTGTTTTAATGGTTTAGTTTGCAGTGACTCTTCTTCTTGAGGAAGAAAGTCTCTGCATCCCAAAAAAGAAAAGTCTGCAAGACTCTACCTGTAAGACAGCGGGTAGCTCTTCTTTTTAAAACCAGCAATTAATTGTGGTAAAAGAACTAATGAGAAGGGAGGATTGAGAATGAGCAGGTAAATGCCTCCTTGAGGTCCTGTCTATAAAAACAGTGGTCAGCTTTCCTAGTTAGCTTTTTAAGGGGTGTCTTTTTCTCATTACTTTTAGGTTTTGAACCAATTGATAAACATGAACCTAAGAGTGTTTATGAACTGCCAGTCTAAGCTTTCAGACATGCCACTGAAAAGGTAAGCAATACCACGCCGGGCTTGAGAGAGAGAGAGAAAACCTGTTGGAATGTGCAGACACAGAAACATGGTCAGATGTCCTACAGGCAGTCTCCATAACTACTTTGACCTCCTTTATATAAAGGCATGATTTTCCCACAGAGAAAATCTGGGAATTTGTGGATAGCATGAGGTAATTCTGCTGGTTTACAAGTTGGATGCTTTTTTATAAATATATATATATAGTTAAATAACTTACTTATCTTAATAGTTAAGTCTTGCACGTTCTGTTTGATCCTTCAAGATGAAAATTCTGACCTGTTCCAAAGTCAACACAACCTGGTTGCTTTGGACAAAGCCTTGGAGGTGTTGGAGGTCTGGGAAAACCGATGCCTTTAGAGAGTTCAACTAGAGTGAAATATTTGCAAAGTTTGGCAGAAATAGGTTCTAACATTTTCTTTCTGAAATTTCAGCTTTTATCGCTATGTTTTGGAGCCGGAGATTTCTTTCACAGCAGATAATAACTTTGCTCCAGGACCAATTGCCAAATTTTTGGATATGCCCCAGTCTCCACTGTTCACTTTGAACCTGAATACTCCTGAGAGCTGGATGGTGGAATCTGTCAGAACCCCATACGACCTTGATAATATTTACCTGGAGGAGGTAAGAGAAATCAGCGTGTTCCTATTACTGCATTTAAATGGGGGTATTTTTTCAGGACTTATTTTTGTAATGGGAAAGAAATGTAGAATTTTAAGGTGCTAATAAAGATAGAACTGTGGATATGAACACCTTTTATGTTTGCAGACTCCTAAGTGTTTTCTAGGAGGGATGCAGAAAAACTTAACCTCACTGACAGCGAGAATGCTGTTCTCCATTACTCATGGATGCCTGAACCACAGGTTGAAAAATACTGTAGGCTTGAAGCAGATCCTACAGATGCTTTGAGTGTGTATATACAGCCTTTCAGAGTGCCCTGAGAAAGAAGCTTTCTCTTGATCATTAAATATATTTCAATTTTTTAGTTGCAAAATTCTTTCTGATTAGAGAGCCCAACAGCTAACGTCACAACTAAGATAATTATTTTTCAAAATTCTTTTCAGAAATTTGGAATTAAGAAATGAATCCTGTGTCAGTAAACAAATTCTACTTACTTTCCCTTGCTCTGAGAAGCCCCCAACCTGGTTTTAGCTACTAGCTACATTTTCACAGCTTTTGTTACTGGCAAATTCTTTTCAGAAATTTTGAATTAAGAAATGAATCCTGTGTCAGTAAACAAATTCTACTTACTTTCCCTTGCTCTGAGAAGCCCCCAACCTGGTTTTAGCTACTAGCTACATTTTCACAGCTTTTGTTACTGGCAAAAGCTCCTGTGGCCCACAAAAGGCTCTGCGGTATCAGTGACAGTAAAACCAGTGCAGCAGAAATCCTCCCAGTTGCAGTAGTTTCAGGAGCTGAGTGCTGCCAGAACAGGCCTTGAATGAGACTATTAGAACACTGATCTGGGCAGTGCTGCCCCACATCCATAGGGATAAAAGTAAGGAGGAAAGAAAAATCCAAGGGGCTAGAGTTTAGTAGAGAAAGGACATTAGAAATGAGAGAAGAACAGCTGTATGTACAAGCTGATGAATCTCATTAATCTTTAATGGGATGGATAACTCGGTGCTAATTATTAACATCCTGCTGTTACCAGTTAACTTGAATAGTTTTCAGAAGATCTAGAAGCAGTGGGCTGGTAAGCAGTTAGAATGCAGGACACTAACATGTTGTGATAGGCACTAAAACCACATATATTAAAAGTTAGATAATCCATATGTGATGCAATGCAGAAAATGTTGGACTTCAGGGTGCAATGTTAAGTAATAGAAGTTAAATGAGGCAGTCAAATAGTCTTTTCCCTTGAAATAAGCCATTATTTAGTTGGCCTTGAAGTGCAGATATATATTAAACCCAGCAATTTTTTAAGTATAATCCAGCATAAGCAAAAGAGGTCTGACGGACAGCTGTGGAGCCTGAGGTCCTCTCTTGTTGGGTTTTTTGTTTGTTTTGGATTTCTTTTATTCCTTTTCTTGGCACTTCTGTTTGGTGTAGAGAAAAGGAATGGGTATTTCTGACAGTACCCCAGTGCACTGTAAGAATAAGTCAGCGCAAAGTAAGATGTTTATTTCATATTTTTTTGTTACTATTAGATGAGACTAGCTTTAAATAGATTCAGATTCAAAGTTCTGGAGCCCATCATATACCTTACATGACATGCCAAACCGATCACTACATTCTCCAATAAATGTTAAAAAAAAATAAAATTGTAAAATAGGGCAACAGTCCTTCCCTCTTGTTATCCTAGCATCTTACCAGTTGAGATTCAAATCTGTTTGGTCAGGGACACTTAACAATGTATGTGTGAAGTCTGTCACTTGAAGGGGCTGAGCTCTTTGAGGCTTTCTAGGTATTTAATAAAATTACTCTGGTGAAATTGTGTTATTTAATTTCTGTGGCCATTTTAGAGAATAACTGAATCACTAAAAAGTTGCACTTTAGAGCTAGTACTGAATTCAGCAGTGTCTTCTCCTTACAGGTGGATAATGTTGTAGCTGCAGAATATGAACTGGAGTACCTGCTCCTGGAAGGACACTGCTATGATATCACCACTGGGCAGCCGCCTCGGGGACTCCAGTTTACACTGGGAACTTCAACCACTCCTGTCATCGTGGATACCATTGTTATGGCCAACTTGGTAAGCATCTGATTGAAACCCATGACAAATCACAGAATCTTCATGGTCGGAAGGGACCTTTGAAATCATCAAGTCCAAACACAAAAAAAACTCCAAAAAAACAAAGACCAAAACTGGCCTCCATCAGCACAATGGCTTGCATAAACCATTGAGTCTTCTCTAGTATGTGGGTGATGGATATGTGGTGTTACTTACATTTGGAAGCAACTGTTGAGTGCATCAGAACCACATCATTCCTAACACTGATGTCTAAAACCTTGCAGTGTGGCTTATTTATCCCTTACCTTTTCCAAGATGTGCTCCTTTCCCTTCGCCTTGCTGAGAAGGGTCTTCTGGAATATCTTAAAACGATGCCAATATCCTTAAGCAGCCTCTTTCCAGGGCAGGTCAGACAGTTCTGTTTCTTCTAGACGGGCAACTCCTTAGGCCACCCACTGTGGCAGGGGAGCCTCAGGTGCAGTGTCTTGTTTTGGGTCCCATTTCTTCAGATCTATGGAATAAATGGAGAGAGTCAGCAGGGAATAACTGATATTCTAGAAAAAAAAAGGAAAACAAACAAGTGAAAGAATGGGAATTGCTTAATAAAGTTGAGAAAAGGTGACAGAAATCCAAGTGTATGATTGTTTCCTGCAGCTGCTTTTATGAGGTAGCTGCACAAGGGATCAGTCTTTGCAGTGTCCGCACTGGACAATGAGAGGTAATGGACTAAAATTATGCCAAGGAAGTTAGTCACTGGAATATTTTCTTGATATGTAATGACAGTGGAAAACTGGAATAAATTGCCTAAAATAAGAAAAAGCAAGGAAAAAAATATTCACTGATGCTAAATATTCATTTTAAAATTCCTACACTCATTTTCTGTTTATTATGCCAAGGAAGTTAGTCACTGGAATATTTTCTTGATATGTAATGACAGTGGAAAACTGGAATAAATTGCCTAAAATAAGAAAAAGCAAGGAAAAAAGTGTTCACTGATGCTGAATATTAATTTTAAAATTCCTACACTCATTTTCTGTTTCTCTGTGCCAGAGGATATCCTATAATGATGTAACATTTCTTATTGTAGAAAGGAAGATGACCCTTATTTTGTGTGTGATCACATTGTGTGTGTGTGTGTTAGGGAGTAAAGCTTAATGGCTTGGAGGTGTCTTTTTATCTAATTAGCTAAACCCAAGTGTAGGTACCACAGTATACAATGCTGTATCTGAGTCTATACTCTGAAGGGGTATGAAGAGACCAGGAGGAGCGTGCCCTGTGCTTTAGATTTTTTTGCTTGCTCTGTCTTTTTAAAGCAGACTGGTTCACATTAGACCTGTGTGCATCTGGGGGTCACAGTACAAAACCAGACAGGACACTGAAGCATCACTACAGATATTTATATCTTCTATAGCTGTAATAATATAAATCACAGAAAAAGACATTCAGATCTGGAACCTGAAGCTTCAAGACTTGTATACAATATTTTACATTTACATTACATTTACATTACAACAATTTCACATTTTGTAATTTTTTAAGTTCTGTAGAAGGAATACCCTGTAACACATAAACTATGTTACTGTTTCCTGCTGTAGCTGAAGTATTTGTCTATAAAGCTTCAAAATTGATGTAAATTTTGTTTTGTGGGCAGATCTTTCATGGACTGCTGTACAGTCACCAACCAGTGTTCTGAAATTCACTCACTCCTGCATGAAGGCAAGCTCTTAGAGAAAAACTTTTGTGATTGCACTGTTCCCATCAGGACACCCTGACGACTTTCTCTTATCTAACAAATAATGCTAGACCTTTTCGTACTCCTGTCTCTTACAAAAAATACAATGATTTTGAATAGAACTTCTGGGGTTTTTCTCCTGTTCTCTGTTTTTTTAAGGCCATGTGGTTATGTTTATCAGCTGGCTTACAAATAACTATTCTCAGATATAAAACAGTAGGTGAAAATACATGACTTAAAAACTTGGTTTTCTACATTTGCTTGTTCTGGAAGCTAACAAATGTTATTTTTATTTTGCAGGGTTACTTCCAGCTAAAAGCCAATCCTGGTGCATGGACTCTAAGACTGAGAAAGGGCAGATCTGAGGATATCTACAGAATCTACAGGTAGGACAGTATAAGAAATAATTTCACCTTTTTCTTGTGAAACTTTTGAATTAGGGAGGCGCTGTAATATGTGAATCAAACAGTTCCCTTGCCAAAGCGGAGTGAACTGAACGGCATATTACATTTTATACTGATTTTAAATTATGTGAGATGAAATACATTAATTAATTTTAAAAAGTAGTACGTGTGTGTTCAAATACATGTATTTGTTACTTTGTCGCATGACTCAAACCTGGTTTATAGTGCTAAGGCTTAATACCATGTGGGGTTTTTCTCCTGTCCTCTGTTTTTTTAAGGCCATGTGGTTATGTTTATCAGCTGGCTTACAAATAACTATTCTCAGATATAAAACAGTAGGTGAAAATACATGACTTAAAAACTTGGTTTTCTACATTTGCTTGTTCTGGAAGCTAACAAATGTTATTTTTATTTTGCAGGGTTACTTCCAGCTAAAAGCCAATCCTGGTGCATGGACTCTAAGACTGAATACGTTTGCTTTTTTTCTGGAAACTAACAAATGTTATTTTTATTTTGCAGGGTTACTTCCAGCTAAAAGCCAATCCTGGTGCATGGACTCTAAGACTGAGAAAGGGCAGATCTGAGGATATCTACAGAATCTACAGGTAGGACAGTATAAGAAATAATTTCACCTTTTTCTTGTGAAACTTTTGAATTAGGGAGGCGCTGTAATATGTGAATCAAACAGTTCCCTTGCCAAAGCGGAGTGAACTGAACGGCATATTACATTTTATACTGATTTTAAATTATGTGAGATGAAATACATTAATTAATTTTAAAAAGTAGTACGTGTGTGTTCAAATACATGTATTTGTTACTTTGTCGCATGACTCAAACCTGGTTTATAGTGCTAAGGCTTAATACCATGAAGAAAAATGTGCAGAAGAAATAAAGAACATATTTCTGCTTTGTAGTAAAGGTCAGTATTTTGCTGTATTTTCAGCCATGATGGCACAGACTCTCCACCTGAAGCGAGTGAAGTTATTGTTGTTCTCAACAACTTCAAAAGCAAAATTATTAAAGTGAAGGTAAGTTTAAAAACTAGAGTTGCTCTTAAAAAAGACTGACCAGGAGTGGGGAAGGAACTTTAATTAGGGCCTGATGATCCCTTCCTACAAGCATACATTTGAGGCAGTTTGCATAAAGTTTACATCACAGTATCAATAACAGAATTATCTGGAGACCTGGTTTTGGGGTTTTTTTTGCCACAGAAAAGAATGACAGGTAACTGCTGTGGATTTTAGATACAAACACGGCCAGTGTCAAAATAAGACTCTGTGGCTGTTTGCCCAATATGTGGTTCCACTCACTAAATCATTGTTATTGCTCTACAGGTTCAGAAAAAGTTAGATATGATGAATGAAGATCTACTGAGTGATGGTACCAGTGAGAATGAATCTGGATTTTGGGAATCTCTCAAATGGTAAAACTAATTCAATTGTGGCTGTTTGCCCAATATGTGGTTCCACTCACTAAATCATTGTTATTGCTCTACAGGTTCAGAAAAAGTTAGATATGATGAATGAAGATCTACTGAGTGATGGTACCAGTGAGAATGAATCTGGATTTTGGGAATCTCTCAAATGGTAAAACTAATTCAGTAATAACCTGCATGTTTCTTGAAACGAGGAAACTATTTGCTGATACAGTTAGGCCTGTGATATTCCCTAGCTATCTATTCAGACTGCTTGAACTTAGGGTTATCTTTCATAGGACCCTTCTGTTTCTAGAGAACTGGGCTACTGCTTTGTGTTCCCTTACCCCCTCTGCTACTTAGGAACCTGAAAACATGTTCATTTCCAGGAGCCACAATCTTTCAATGCAATAGGGGCTCATCTCTAAGGTCTTCCAGGTCTGTGTCTGCAGGACTCTGCCTTGTGGAGGATGCCCTGAACAACGCCAAACCCCACGGTCATCCTGTATTAAACCAATGCTGTAGCAATTTATTGTCTGTTGCACTCTTTCCTGTATAGCTGACCCACCAAACCCCATGGTTGTCCTGTATTAAACCAATGCTGTAGCAATTTATCTATTCAGACTGCTTGAACTTAGGGTTATCTTTCATAGGACCCTTCTGTTTCTAGAGAACTGGGCTACTGCTTTGTGTTCCCTTACCCCCTCTGCTACTTAGGAACCTGAAAACATGTTCATTTCCAGGAGCTATAATCTTTCAATGCAATAGGGGCTCATCTCTAAGGTCTTCCAGGTCTGTGTCTGCAGGACTCTGCCTTGTGGAGGATGCCCTGAACACCACCAAACCCCATGGTTGTCCTGTATTAAACCAATGCTGTAGCAATTTATTGTCTGTTGCACTCTTTCCTGTATAGCTGACCCTTACTATCTTATCCTTTATATCAACACATTTGTCCTTCCAGGGGATTCACAGGTGGACAGAAGAATGAAGATGTGAAACAGGATAAAGACGATGTACTAAATATATTCTCTGTGGCTTCAGGACACCTATATGAAAGATTCCTACGGTTAGTTCAGAATCTGGGTGTCTCAAATGGTAATGTGCCCTTGCTGTCCCCAAGGAAAAAGCTTAGAATTTGCAAGAATACAAAAAACCCCACCTTTTTCAGCAGTTCAGAAGTTTTCTAGATTCGGCGTCGACTACTATAGGAACTTCTGTCTGCATAATGTTCATACGTTCAAACTAGACTCAGTTTAATAGCTGGTACAGGTTGTCCTAAATTCTCTCACTACAATAGAACCAAATACAAATGTATTGATAAGAAGTTACACAATAAGTCATAGTTGCTTTGGAAAAGAATCTGTTCTCAAAGGACTGTGAAAGTCAATGGGTTCTATATTCTTTGGCCCTTAAAATATATAGATTTTTGGGGGGTTAGTAATTTTGTAGATAAAATGAAGCTATTTGCAGTAGGGTGAAGCTACCTGCTTTTTCTCCATGCGTTAAGATCAGTTACCTGACCCATAACTGCAGTCAGTCTAATAATGTAAAACTGCAATTTACAATCCCTTATGCAACTGATTTCTAATGGGTGGCAGTTGTTCTGTAAATGCTTTTTTTTTTCCTTTTGATAGCATAATGATGTTGTCTGTGCTGAAACATACTAAGACTCCTTTAAAGTTCTGGTTTCTGAAGAACTACTTATCACCTACTTTCAAGGTTTGTTACGAATTAGAAATCTACCAATTTTCCACTGGGAAGGGAAAGTTTAAAAAAAAATATTTAAAAAAAAGGTTGCAACATATACATCATGCTATTGTGTAAACGTATGTACAATTAGAAGTCTACCAATTTTTCACTGGGAGGGGAAAGTTTAAAAAAAAAAATAAATCAAAAAAAAGGTTGCAACTTATACATCATGCTATTGTGTAAACGTATGTACGGTTACCTGTCCGTGTACCTTCTATGTTGACAAAGCATCAAGTTGGTATAAGCTGGTGGTTCTGCCTAGAAAGCTTTGGGAAGTAACAGACAGGTTGACAGTGGACTCGTGCTGAAGGTAAATATTTAAGAGAACAGCACATATTATGAAAATCATACTCCAAAGAATCTGAGCTTTTCTTTGTTGTGACTCACACAACAAAGGTGTAGAGTTTAAGATGACATTCAGGGCTGTAAACTTACATCTAATATATAAGGGCTGAAAGACTATAGGAAAAAAACTCTAGAGAAGCAACACCTCTGACTAAGTATGGGGAGAGCTTCGTAAGAGGAGACACAACAACCATGTTTCAGGCTGACTAGAGTACACGAGCAGAGCATGGTAAAGAGTGACACTGGCCCTAAATGAGTATACCTGGAAAAATACTTATATTGACTATACAATATGTTTATATATACATCATAAAACAAATAGCAGGATTCAAAACAGGGCCCAGAGGTAAATGGATGTCAAAACATTCAGGAATTTGCAACTTTAAACATTTAATATTAGGAAGTATGATTTCTTAGAGAATTTTACCTGTTCAGCATGAACTCCAGGGGAAATATTTGGCAGTGTCCCTATCACTGCAACCATGGGCTGTGCTGTGACTCTGCTGCTGTCAGTCCCCTCTCGGGGGGGTGCAGTAATTGTGCCCACCCCCACTTCCTAATGGCCATGTTGTACCAGCATCCCTTGGCTAAACCTGTGCTCTCCCAGCGTCAGAGGAAGCCTCACAGATGAGAACATCAACTGATTTGACAGTGGGCCAAATTGTTCTAGTAAAAAATTTCTCCCGATTCTTTTCTCTCATTTTATTATTCCAATTTATGCTGCTTTGTGCAGCCCTAAATAATAATTCTCCCATCTGCAAAATTTTACGATTTGAGTAATGCATTCTTTTAAACTGATCTGTGGATCACTATAAAATGGCTTATAAGTAATTGTGTGGGGAAAAGTGCCAAAATATTTAGTTGTCTTATGATAGTTGGCTTTACAATTGGTACTGATTGTTCAGTTTGGGGTTATGTCTTTGTTTGAAATAACAATGAAACTCTAGTTACTATTTGCAGTGTTTTGTTTTCTAATGTTCTGTGCATTATTACAGGACTGCAGTCTCTCTCTTGTAATACACTTGTTTTTTTCATGCAGAGGAACAAAGAACTGAGATAAGCTACTTTTTTTTCCCCTTCCCTCTGCAGGAGTTCATCCCATACATGGCAGAGAAGTATAATTTCCAGTATGAGCTTGTCCAGTATAAATGGCCACGCTGGCTCCATCAGCAGACAGAGAAGCAGCGTATCATCTGGGGCTACAAGATCCTCTTTCTAGATGTGCTCTTCCCATTAGCTGTTGATAAAATCCTCTTTGTGGATGCTGATCAGGTAACAGAGAGGCTGGAATTAATTATCTTTTCCTTTTTTTCTTCTTTAATTTTCTCTAAGGATAGTATGTTCTTGATTACAATTTCTGTATTATTGGAAAGGTTGCAAGTTTGAGCCCTTTGCAGGCCCGACTGGAGATTGATTCTGTAACTACAGCATGCTCCAGTGAGTGCTGTTTTCTCCTTTCTCACAAAGATTGGTTTTGTTGGCCCGTTTTTTACTCTTGTCTGGTTATTCGTTCACTCTGATTCCAGCAAGTTTGCCAAATAGATTCTTATTTCACCCTTCCATTTTTCCAGCTCTGTTCTCCCAGCCTGCAGATCACTTACCACATACGGTATTTTCTTAAGTCACCAAACACCCTGCCCTCCTACCCCCCTGCTTTTAACTTGGCCCGATCTGAGTGGCTTTCAGAGGAGTGAGAAGGCAAAGCCCTTGTGTGTGAAGCTGCAAAGCAAAGGGTGTCTGTAAGGCTTTGCGTGTGCTCACAGCCTGAACAGTTTGAGAGTATACATGGAATACATAAAAAACCTTCTTCCCTGAAGGGTTTGCAAACTTTCAAGAGGAAAGGATACAAAGGATCATGGTAGAGTTTATGTATATTGAGAATTCTTGCTGCTCATTAAGCAACAATTTGGTCCTTTAGCTGTCAAACCAACCCCTATCAGATTATTTTTAGCTCTATTTAGTTGCTCCAGCTCTAAGGGCAGGGAAGACAGCACCTTTTGTGCTGTGTTTTTGTACTACATATACATAATGCCAAAGACAGTATAACAGGTACTGCTTCCTTTAATTGTTTGCTCAGTTTGAATTAAATCCTGACCAGCATTTCAAATAATCTGTGGCAGGCTTCTACAAATAAATATAAAATGTCCTTTCCCTTCAGATTGTGCGCACAGATCTAAAGGAATTAAGAGATTTCAATCTAGATGGTGCTCCTTATGGCTATACTCCCTTCTGTGACAGTCGAAGAGAAATGGATGGCTACAGGTTCTGGAAATCAGGATATTGGGCAAGTCATTTAGCTGGAAGAAAATACCACATCAGGTACTGAAGAATTCAGTTTTTTCAAAATAGAGGGGGAAAGCTTTTGCTATTATTTAGAATTAGCAGAAAACTAGCTGAGGTGTACAACGCTGCAGTGAACCACTTTTTGCTCTACTGTTGCCTCTTTAAGGTTCCATTCCCTATGGTCCATTTGAAGCACTAGGGACACTGAAGTTACTTTCAGTATGCTACAGCTTTTACAGATGAAGAACTGAAGTGTTAACTAACCAGACATCTTCATTTCTTAATAACAAATGTTGGAAGAAGGGACTGCATGACAGCAAAGCTAAGATAGATTTGTTGAACATTTTTTCACCTATCTGCCATGACCTCGTTAGAACTGCTTTCCTGCCTTGTATTAGATGACCTGCTGTACTGCCACCAAGAGATTGTTTTAGCATGTTATACCTTGGGGTCTGCTGGGGCTGCAGTAAATTACCCATCAGTCAAATGTCCTTACTAATTGTGTCATCTCCACGTAGTGCTCTGTATGTTGTGGATCTGAAGAAGTTCAGGAAGATAGCAGCTGGAGATCGGCTCAGAGGACAATACCAGGGTCTTAGTCAAGATCCAAACAGTCTGTCCAACCTTGATCAGGTGTGTATTTATTGTGTTTGGTTTATTTTACTGGGATATGATGGCAGGTTGGGACTCCTCCTTTCCTGGTCAGACTTCAGTCACAGCCAGATGCCAGTGCCAGTCCTGTTGTGCTCTGCCTTCAAATGAGGCAGGTACTGATAGTATCAAATACCTCTGGTGGGTGGAAACAACACCTTTGCCTTAAATGTCTTAAGACTATCAAATTTTCCAGTATCCTCCAAGAAAAATACGTAACACAGCTGGGTACTTGTTTCTTGAGCTATCCAGCTCTGAGTGCTTTACTGTTCACTGACTTAGTAACATAGAAATAAGGCTTGTACTGTGGCAGATGGAAAAAAAAATAACACAATGGCTTTAATCAATAAAGAATAGTCTTTCAAACTGGTCCAGTACAGGCTTGCTACTGGATTCATATTACTGCTTTAATACTGTTTGCTAAATAACTAATTTTCAACAAAATAAGATTAACAGTTGCCGTACGCAGTTTTTTTTCCCCAAAGAACTTTCTTTGGAATGGAATGAAAGGTTGATTCATCGCTTTTTATTTGCACTGGAATAAAACCCTCTTCACAAAAGTTAAACTTCTCAATATCATTTGTTCCTCCCACCCCGCATCCTGTGGAAATTACTGCTCACTCTTATTCTTCACAACAGGATTTGCCTAACAACATGATCCACCAGGTGCCAATTAAATCACTCCCCCAGGAGTGGCTGTGGTGTGAAACGTGGTGTGACGATTCCTCCAAGAAGAGAGCAAAAACCATTGATCTGGTAAGTGTAGTACGGCTCCCTCACTCTTCATTTACTCACAATAAAATATAGTGACCGATTTTAGAGGCACTTCCCTACCTCAGATCTAGGCACCTCATCCTGTATTGAAACTTAAATGATTTCAGCACTTCCATTTTTCCCTTTAGCTTCTCTATTGCTCTTACCTGGAGCAGTGGCATTATTATGAGTTTGGAAACATACTTTTCACTGTACTCTGGCTAAAATACAGGCTTGTATTGTTACCAACACCACATTAATTCCACCAGGGGGAAGCATACCTCTGTTAAGTAAATAAACCTGTTTTGTTTTTTTTTTTTTTAACACATTGTCTGAACCGCTGGCATGTTTTGTTTGCAGTGTAATAACCCAATGACCAAAGAGCCCAAGCTGCAAGCAGCGATGCGTATAGTTCCGGAATGGCAGGACTATGATCAAGAAATCAAACTGCTCCAAAGTCTTTTCCAGAAAGAAAAAGAAACGGGAACGCCAGCTAAGATGCCAGGCCAACACACACATGGTAATTTTTCTGACCTGTTTCCCTATTTCTGGGGCTTTCTTCCTACCTGTTTGGGCTGGGGCACAGTTGTGTACTCATTCACTGTAAACGTGCCCCAGGCAAAGGCTTGGGTGGAGGATCTGTTAAATAAGCTGTGTATTTTAGTGGGATAGAAAGGCCTTGCCAAGTGAGGCCGGTGTAATTTCACCTGATTCTGAAACTTCGAGAACAGAGAGGTACATTGCACACTTTTTCCAGTTCTGTTAAAGACCCTCACTGTTCCTGCAATTTTAGAAGCTTGGCCTTATCTTAAGCCTTACTTAAAGTGCTGCTGTACACAATGGGTATGAAGTGTTCTTCAGTCACTGGGAACCTTGCAAAGAACAAGTCTTTGGAGTTTATATACTAATTTTCAAACCAATCTGCTAATTGAGGCAGCTGGAAATGAAGTACTCATTTTTTCTCTCCTCTTCTACAGATCCAGAAGCACATGTGGAATTATGATCCATGGAGAAAAATTCAAGTTAGACTGTTTCATAGACAATTTTTATATTGAAAGCTAGTTTTTTCCGGTATGTCTGCAAAACTGCTGAATAATTGAATGGGATGATGTATGCATTTTTATTACTTGCCTTTGGGTTAATTTCTGCATATGAAATAGGATCTGGATTGCTGGAATTAGCATTACTGGTTTTTTGCACCTGTGGTGGAGATGAAAGAGCCCATGATGGAATTTAGCATTTCAGAAACAAAACTTCAAAATCCACTGGAAAAGCCACAGCCTGTTCCTTCAGCTGTTGCTACCTCCAGCACTGATGAAGATCCATCCCATTAGCCTCAGATCTCACTCAAGAGCCTGGAAACAGCAGACCTGTTGAGCTGTTGGCTAGAACATAAGTCCTAACCTCAACCGATGGGGATAATTTTTCCAGGTAACATTAAAAGGCTCAGAATCATGCCTTGAATTTGGGATACCGTTTTATCTGCAGGTTTTCAAATGGTTGGAAATGCTTCTCCGATTTGTTCAGTATGCCCTTGATTTTGTAACAAATCCAGCATTACTTAGATTTTTCTATTTCCTGCCTTCAGTTATTGCCCAACTTTTGAAGGTTTGGCTTAATGTAAAGCTGCCGCAATCTGTTTAAATGCCCATCCAAATACAAATGATTAATCTCACAGAGTGAGCAGAACATTGAATTTGACAGCTCAGTTCATCCCAGCCCATCTGACTTGAATCAAAGTGCCCTCCTTCCTTCCTGCTCAAAGTTTCAATCAGTCTGCAAAACTGGTAGGGCCTTACTCTTGCTGTGGTTCACTGATTCATGAATGTGTTTTGTTTATGGAAAAATCTGTGGAAGCTTGGAAGTTTTTCATCATGTAAATTTCATTAACTTTATTTTTCTTCAAACAGAGATGATGTCACATCAATAAAAACTTTGGAGTTCTTAGGTCTTAAGCTTCAGCTCATACTCAGTCCTTTGATCATCCTTTTTGCTTGCACATGTTACAATCCTAATTTGATTTTGGGGTTTCTGAATATTTTACCTGCATTTGTTTTTTACGCTATGCACAAACAAGAAAACATTTTCCTTCAAGGATTATTTACCCTGGGCTAGTTTCATCACTCATTCATGTCTTAATTTTTTAAAGATGATACTGCCATAGTTCTGTTATGAACATATCATATCAAACCTCAAACCCCAAACCCTCTTTCCCTCATTCTGTAGGATTATTGTCTGCTCCCTAGAACACTGAGAATTTGAAGAGTTGAATTTTTAGTAGTAAAATATAGCTCCCTATGTACTGCTGCTTTAAAAATCCAAACTCAGATCATTTTTGCCACTCATGTTTTTATACAGGTAGAGCTTCACACTAAAGATAATCCTGACTTAAAATATTCTTGTAGAATTACTGTATTAAACATCCTATAAATGTTTTGGAGGAATCTGAAAGACAGCAGTTGTAGTGTTTGAACTGTTCAACAGGACAACTGAACAGAAAAGCAGCTCTCCAGCCAGCTCAAGAAAGGGTACAAATCACTAGCCTAAACTTTTTAAAAAATATGTTAAAAGAAATAGCTGAGGTCCCTTAGATGCACGTTGCTGGCACCGTTGACAAGGCCAGTAAACTAATCAATGACACCACACATACACTGCTGCTGGGTATCAGAAGTGGGTAATTCTAGAAAGGCATTAGAAAGGACAGTTTATAATGTGCCCCCCTCCAGCTGGAAAGCTATGCCATCGTGGGGGGCTGGATATCAGACAGCAGCCTACAGAGTAGGAGGTATCAGCTTATCTAGTTCCCATTTGGGGGGTTTCTAAATTCAGCCCAGTCTCCCTGATGCTCTGTAAATTAAAAGTGGCTTATGCTTCCCATCAAAACTGTTCCAGGTAAGGATAACCAGACTTGGACTAGAAGGAATTTTTTCTAGTGTAAAAAACAATAACGTGCCAACAAATTAAACACTTTCTGTGTTAATTAGCCTATTTTAAACATAATACAGCACATAAAAGACTACCATTTCTGTGTTCAGCTACAAACCACTTATGCCTCTTTGGAACGCATGGAATGGTGCAGGATCAGGTGGGCACCAGTTTCAGCCAGGGATGGGTCACTGAGGAGAGATGGGGTGTGGTGGGGAAAGAATCTGCCCAAGCCCTCACAAGAAAAGTGCAAGTTCTCTGCAAAACCAGACCCTATCTAAAACCATATTTGACTGCATTCTTTTTTTTTCAAATGCTATTAGAGGCCAGAAGAGAGAGAGACTAAAGTAACCTCTTAGCACAGTATTTACAAAGCCTTATTCGGAGTTGTATAAGATGATATTTTAAAGTGAAACATCAGTTACAGAATTTTATGTTAATTATGCTCCTCCATTTTAATAGTTAATGTATGCACTTAAACACCCACACTGCATACTATTATTTTATTATTTTTTTAAATTATGAGATCTAGCTAGCTATGAAGAATATTTTTGTTCCCTCTGGTTAACATAGACCGTGCTCTTCTGTTCAGCTCTCATTATAAAATTTAAAAATCTAACTCACAATCGATACAGAAAGAAACCAGAAACATGTATTGTGAGATTCTGTACCTTTCACACTATTCTTAACAGTCCTGTACCTGCTCTCAAGTACATTATAATATGTACGTGGTACGAATCATTAAGAAGGTGAACTACTACAGTTTTTCCTGGGAAGCCACTATTTATTTGCACACAAGAATAACAATCATAGAGGAGACCAGTCCCTTATTTTGGATCTGGGCCTTCACTTGCTTGGAATGCTCGACTGGGCCTCAAAAGAAAAATCTTCTGACAGCTCCATCCAGAAAACATCTCAGAATAAGATAATTACTGAAACAGAGCTGCTACTGATCATGCCACCGATGGCCTGCTCCTATAATTAGTAAGGCTGATAAGAAGAAAATAGAAAATGGGGATTCTAGAAGTCACAACCTAATTTTGGATCCCTCAGACCAAAAAGTATGCGGTAAAGCAATGACATTGTTGCCAATCTCTGGATATGAGCTGCTTGTCCTCTTGGGGAAAGTTCATACTGAAAAATGCCCAGTACTTTATTTTAAAAGGGAGACTTCACTGCCTTACTAGAAAACAAATAGCAGAGAAATATGTTTTTAAGATTTCTCTTTCATTTAGCTATTGTGGGATGGGTTGTAAAGGAATTGCAAGGGGTGGGACATGTACAAAGCAGTAAATATCCAGTCACAATCTTAGGAACCAAAACTTTTTTTTTGAAAATATAAACTGTTTTGCATATCCAAATCTTCTGTAATCTGTTCAAGAACATACCATAACTCAGTGTGGCACTGATACCTACTGACCCAAGATATTGGGAGTTATTCTGTACTGAATGTTATCTGAACTGAGATTACAGTGAGTTTCCCAGTACAGTCACGACAATAAGATCTGTCTAATATAATAAAGTTTTTCTGTTCTTTACCCATGCCTCTTATGTCACTTACTCTGGGGCTGATAACTGATGCTTTAATGGAGTTGCTTAGAGTACTTTTTTCACTTATTCTTGTATTCAAGTGTTGGGATACTGTTGAAAAGCTTCTAGACGGGAAAAGTCGAGTTCCTCCTTCAAACCAGTCTTTTTAATCACAGTATTAAAGTAACCCCTAAACTGAGATACTTCTGTTAAAGAAACAATAGAAATAGTTTACTTTTAAGGTAGATTTTTTTTCCCAACTCTACCTACTAATAATTTAAAAAGTGCTTCTATGTCAGTTTTTGTCATGTGCTTTAAATTTTACACCAATACATTCATAGTAAGCACTCAGAAAAGTTAGTGTTTCAGAGTTGGGAATGAATTCCAAACTCCTATGGGACTCTTGAGAAAAGCCTCTAAGCCAGAACATCTTTATTATTCAAAGAAAGAGCTATGAAATAGATAGTTTTACATGGAAAGCTCAGTTGAATGCAACAAAAATACATATTTGGTTTCCTATAGTTGGCTGTTTGAATTTGCTCAGGTTTGGAAAATGAGAACAAATCCTAGGAGACAAGAAAAGGAAGCAGCCAGGAAAAATAAATACATGCCTTATGCCTACTGCCTCCTCAGCCAGTGGGGGGGGTCCGCCCGTGCACCACCACCCCTTTGGATTTTCAAAGTACATATGTAAGCATGTGACTGCGCATCCCTCCAGCTGGGATGGTCACCCCATGTGGTGCTGATGTCCCCTTCAGTGTTGTAACACGCCAAGCGTGACTGCACATCCCTCCAGCTGAGATTGTCACCCCATGTGGTGCTGGATGTCCCCTTCAGTGTTGTAACACGCCAAGGGAGGCTGCTGTGGAAGCCCACCACGCTCTGGCTTGTCTCTGGACTTCCTGCCACATGTGCAAGGCATTTCTCAACTGTGTCCAATCTTGACTTTCTTGACAGCAGTCTTAAAAGTAATTTCCAGCACCCGTGTCTAGCTCTCATCAACAGCTTTGCCAGCACAAGACTTACTGCCCTGCTCAGAATTACTAGCTCAGGGAGACTCGGTCACCATGGTGCACTGTATCACAGTGCCTCACAATGCAGCCCCACACCAATGGGTACCACCACACAGATGTGTTTATCACCTACAGATGTGCTCTTACAGCATCAGAACAAGTTCCAGCCACTCAGCCCTTCTTCAGCCCAAGAGGTCTTTCACAGAAGCAAGTTACACCTAAATTTCTGCACGGTCATTTTACACACTAGTTAATGGAAGTCAGAAAATGTTTTTCAGGAGAGGGAGGGATGCCAGGGATGGGAGACTGATACAGGGAACAGAATGGCAGTTAAGGAAAATGCAGTTTGTTTCTGGCTGGTTTCAATTAGGAGGTGGCAAGCACTGTAGGATGTCTTTTTCTCTCATAGTCCTGTTTAAAGGCAACCAGGCAGCTGAAAAGCAGAGTTCCAAGGTTCCCTGAGAGCATGTTGAGGTGCAAGGGTACCTGCAGAGCCAGACATACACACTGGTGGCAGCCCCATGCCTCTGGTGTATCAGCTCTAGACTGTGTGAACCTGTGACCACAGCTTCACTGGAGCACTAGCTGATCTCCCTGTAATACAGTACAGCTAAACTCCCCTCACCTCTGCATTCCTCCAGCAGCAGCATTGGATTTTGGTATGGAGAGCCATCCCTCAGTAAGGAAGCACGGTGCTGCTATCAAAGAGTTTGCCACAAAGTTAAAGCAGCACTTTACCCAAAGCTCTGCTTAGTGCCACTGCTGGTATATTCAGCACAGCAGATCCATCCAGCCTCTATCCACGCAGGAGAGACAAAAGGAAGGAGAAACATCTAACTGGGGAACAGACAGCCACGTGAGAAGGGCATCCAGTGCTTTGTCCCCCAGTAAACAAACCGCCTTTCCAGATCCTGCTCTTGCTGCTCATTTCCATCTATTGAGCAAATACACTAACATAACAAGATGAAAAAATCAGTCACTAAAATGCACAAATTAGACAAATTACGACAGGGTGCCCTTATCATCAGGGCTTAGATGTAGTGAGGGGTCTGGAGAATAAGTCTTATGAGGAGAGGCTGAGGGAACTGGGGTTATTCAGCCTGGAAAAGAGGATAGGTGTGGTCCGGTCTCTTTTCTCAAGTCACAAGCGACAGGACGAGAGGAAATGGCCTCAAGTTGCACCAGGGGAGGTTCAGGCTGGATATTAGGAAAAATTTTTTCACTGAAAGGGTTCTCAGCCATTGGAATGGGCTGCCCAGGGAGGTGGTTGAGCCACCATCCCTGGAGGTGTTCAAAAGACGGGTTGATGTAGTGCTGGGAGGTATGGTTTAGTGATGATGCTCCTTGTTTGTTGTGTGGGTGTCTATCTTTGTCAGTTAGGTTGACGGTTGGACAAGATGATCTTTAAGGTCCCTTCCAACCTAGAAGATTCTGTGATTCTGTAGTGGCAGAGATACCCCATGCCAGTCTTCCCTGCACTTTGCTAAGCCTGAAGGGATCCTCTCTAGATCACTGGTTTGTCCTGGCTCCCCTGTCCGAGACACACAAGGCAGCACCTGTGCGTACAAAACCATCCCTGCAACTCCTCACACACCAGCACCCTCAGCTCTGCTCTGGTTGCAACAGGTTTTCCTGTCCCATCACCAATGACTCCTTGCCTGCACACAGTTCTGTGCCATTCTAGCCACCAACTAGAACCCCCTGTATAAAGAGACACTGAATTTCATCCTGTCCCTAGCAGACACCTGCACCCTGCATCACAACAGAAAACTCCATAAATTGGTAAAGGCAATCCAAAGGGCTTCTAGTTGGAAGACCTTGCTGGGCTCTGACAAGCTTGTCAGGTCAGCCCTGCCCTCCCACCACCACTTGGTGGTGAGTGGAGATGCTGGGAGTTAACCACAAACCTCACAGCTGGGAATCAGAAAGAACACTGAGCTCCTACCAGTATTGTAACACTCCATCCCGCAGCTGTGGAGTACCTGCATCACACATCTCAGCACCTTACAGCTATCAGACAAAGTAAAATTTCATCCTGTCCCTAGCAGACACCTGCACCCTGCATCACAACAGAAAACTCCATAAATTGGTAAAGGCAATCCAAAGGGCTTCTAGTTGGAAGACCTTGCTGGGCTCTGACAAGCTTGTCAGGTCAGCCCTGCCCTCCCACCACCACTTGGTGGTGAGTGGAGATGCTGGGAGTTAACCACAAACCTCACAGCTGGGAATCAGAAAGAACACTGAGCTCCTACCAGTATTGTAACACTCCATCCCGCAGCTGTGGAGTACCTGCATCACACATCTCAGCACCTTACAGCTATCAGACAAAGTAACTGAAGACATTTTCTGGCCTGATTTGCCATCACTGCAGAAATGCCTGCATTGAAGACATTTTCTGGACAAGTCCAGCCTGATTTGCCATCACTGCAGAAATGCCTGAAGCACATCCCAGCACGGGAATGAAACCTGTGTCCTCTGGAACCAAGTGACTCACAGATCTGCCATCTGCGTAACACAGGCACTGCCAGAGGAACACAAGGACCAAGGTCCCTCAAGGAACTGACTCGACTCACAGATCTGCCATCTGGCACTGCCAGAGGAACACAAGGACCAAGGTCCCTCAAGGAACTGACTTCCCCAAACCCTGCCGGTTCCCCAGAGCGGCCTGGCAACTCCCCACAGAAAGGTTCACTCGGACACTGTATTTACACTGCAGGCTTCCACCTTGGCTAGCAGTGACAGTGCAAATATACCAACAGTCAAAGCCTACCCACAAGGAAATTCCTCTCCATTTGCTTCGCCTTCCTCTTCTTTGTCATATAACTATATTTACCCAATCACGAGTATTGCTAGTGGATTATACACTCCATCTGTTTTGATTCAACACACTGATCTTTGCTGACTCGAAGGTAATTAAAGACCTCTCCCCCACTCTCCCTTTCTGTCTGCAGCATGTATGCCAGCTGCTTGTTGGAATCCAGATAATTGAACAGCATTCCCTAATCAGGAAACTCAAGGAAAATCACTTCTGACTACCAGGGTTTATTGCTGACTAGACTTTATTAAGATCATTGCTAAGACAGATTGCCTTGTGCTTGGAATACATTGAATTTGTTCCTTATTAGCCAGCTTGGGGCTTGATGAGGAATGAGAACAGTGTTATTCTGTGTGAAGATTTGGAATAAAGAACTCGTAAATATACTTGATTATGGCACAGCAGGGTCCCCCTCTGCTCCTAGGCAGCCCAGGAAACACACGATAAGCAATCAAGCATTCTGCTTCTCTAACTAATGCTGCTGCTACACCCGAGCACAAACACACCTGGGGATGCAGGACCTGCCCGACCCACAGCACTGTGCCTGGAGGGTACCCATTTGCTGGGGAACCCTGAGCCTGCAGGTGTGTGGGAAGCACCCAGCACCCACTGACAGTACCGCTTAAAACCAAAATCCTGATGGCTGAGCTTTTCCAGCTTCTATAGATGGGAGGGAAGGAGATATACACTCATCTTTAAGAGAGGGCAGGTGGTGAGTTAGCTAAGCAGGGGATGGGAGGAGTGCTGCACATTATGCACTGGGTTACCAGTTCCTGAGCTGACTGCTCTCACCGCCTGCACTTCTCACCATTCCAAATGCAGCACACTCTCCTGGCTTCCTCCTAACAGATACCACAGAACAGAGAACAAACTGCTTTCCTCTACTAACCACAGTCACCTCGAGTGCAGCACACTCTCCTGGCTTCCTCCTAAAAGATACCACAGAACAGAGAACAAACTGCTTTTTCTGCTTAAAATTAATTTCCAGCAGTAAAGACACATGCTTTTCTCCCCTGCCATTCATATTTAACTATGCATCTCCTCTGCTGAAAAAAATGGGTCTCAGACTTCTAATCTTCAACCTTTTCTCTATCTTTACATTTTTCTTTACTACAACAAATATATGGTAAGGACTTCTTTTCTGCTTAAAATTAATTTCCAGCAGTAAAGACACATGCTT